AAGAGAGCCTCTAAGAAAACTAAGAATACTATCGTGTAAGGCAAGCAATTCTCTGTAAAACGGTCTAAAACTGAATGGCAAAATTTTTGAAGCTGTTTTGTTATGATAACTGCTGTTTAACGCCGCAGTACGCGTTCCGAATGTTATCACAAGAATGCTGAGTTGTGGGCAAAAGTCGTGCCCCAGGCGGGAGTCGAACCCGCTTTCCGGGCGAGTGCGCTATCCGTTACGCCACCAGGGCCGCTTTTACCCTCTCAGCTTTTATGCCGTAGCCTTACAGCACTCACACGTTTAACTTGGTGAGACTGGTGGCGTAACGGATAGCGCACTCGCCCGGAAAGCGTGAGGTGCGGGTTCGACTCCCGCCTGGGGCACGACTTTTGCCCACAACTCAGCATTCTTGTGATAACATTCGGAACGCGTACTGCGGCGTTAAACAGCAGTTATCATAACAAAACAGCTTCAAAAATTATAGAAGATAATTTAAATGCGTCAAGAAAAGGCGGCAACTAAGCCGCAAAATGGAGAAAATCTTTTTCTGCCATGACAGTACGCATTCAAGTGGCTCAGATGAAACTGCGCGGTCTCAACTAAACGGCTCCTTCGCATCCACCGTGTAGAGCGCTGACAGCGTCCCAACCTGCTTCAACCTTTTTCAATTTTTGGCTCATCATTTGGAAGGGCACTATTGGCTGGTGAAGACGAAGACTCAGAATGTACAAACTTTCATTTGCTCTTAGAAGCTCCAGAGCTCTACAAGAAGGTATTCTGCGTACGCCGTACTACAGGGATTCTCATCGAGGGATCTTATTTGCCTTTAAAAAATTTTTTTTGGCTTCTTTTGACTTCCTTGGTTATCCTGTCTGGAGTGCGCTATATAGTACCCACGACGGCAGGTTTCCAAGGGAAAAAGAAGAGTTGCTGGAAAAACTGGAAGAATTTAGGAATATAGGAAATGTCGGTCAGGTAGGTGGAAGGGGGGAGCTGGGGTTGGGGAACTATCGTCGCTGGAAAGATAGTTGTACTCAAAAAAAGCCATTGAAAAAAGTTTTCGGTTGCCTACGTTTCTCGGTTTTTTTGTTTCGAGTGCGATATAGAGTCCCCTCGTTCCGCGGTAGTTTTTTTAAGGAAAACCGCGGAATTTCTGGAAAAGCTGTAACAATTTAGGAATATAGAAAATGCTGGCTACGTAGGATGGGGATTGCTGGTGAAAATGAAAACGGGGTCATGCTGGGGAAGAAGTTTTGAGAGTGGGTCGTATTTTACTAGAATTTTTGCCAATGACAGGGCGGTTTTTACCCCAAGTCCGCAAATCGCCTTGAATTTGCAGCATGTGGTAGATACCGATGGAGGGTAGGTAAGCCAGTGGTTGAAATTAGAGAGAAAATATACATTCTGGAAATGAAACTGATCGAAACATGTCCCAGAAATTATTGGGCACAGAGTTCTGTCAGTACTGCTGATGCTATTCACCGAAAAACATAATGTAATGTGTTTGTTGGATAAAAGGTACATTTGTCAAGTTGCTATACCCCTAACAGCTGCATTCGTCAAGGTTTTCGAAAAAAAAATGTGAAGATCACGTAAAGCTACTGCGTGCTGGGCCACTCAGTTTTTAACAAAGAGAAATGCATTAGACAATCGATTGAGTGGTGAGGCAATTGGACTGCGGAACATCTGCGAGTAATTCTTCACACATCGTTCGAAAAATCAAATCGGATCAGGTTCATTCGGACCCTGATATCGAACGCTATTATTGATCCGGAATCTTAGGAGAAACTGTGCCCGCAATGGTTTGATAAGAAGTGAGTGAAAAATTCAGTCAAAAAAAGAGGAGATAAAGTTTATAAAAAGCAGAAAAATGAAAGCGGAACCTAAAACGAAAGTCTGGACCGCTGGGCAAAGGGCCAATGCCTGAATCAAGCCACAGCGCGATTATCCGAGCAAGAGGGCTAAGAACTCAGCTGGGATGTTTTGCATCCCAAAAGCACAGGGATGAACAAAAAAAAAATCAAATTCGAAACCAATGAAACGGACCTTATTGTCGTTGGTCCGGAACGGAACTGGTGCTGCCATGGTGCTGAATAGTTAGATAGAAGAGGTGACACAAGTGGTTGAGGCACGCACGCACACACACTCACGAACCGCCTGAGTGTGGAGCCCCTCGGGCTGTTACACCATGCAATCGGCACCCGATTTTGAGACGGATTTCTCAGATCCGCTCTTTCAGTGAGATGGGCGACATGTCACTTTTATGTTCATTTCATGTGATAGCTACTTTTATATGATTTTTGGCACGGTTAAGAGTGAGCTGTGAAGGGGGCGGGCATTTCGTATTTTCGCTGCTTTTCATTGACCTC